ACCCCAAACCTTCGCCTCACTGTTGTTTGTGTCCACTGGTTATGCACACATGCATATAAGTTCTTTGATTAATCTCTTCCCATCTACCTCCACCTTCCCTCTGAGATCCTTCAGTCTGTTCCATGCTTCTATATCACTGGATCTATTTTGTTCCTCAGTCTATTTTGTTTATTAGATTCCACATATGAGTGAGATCATGTAAAACTGAATCAGGAAGAATCAGAAAACCTGAATAGGTCCATAACAACTGATGAAATCAAAGCAGTAATAAAAGTACTCCCAGCAAACAAAAGCCCTGTAGACCTAATTTGCTTTTATATGGCCAAAATTACAAGGTGAATTAGGAGAGAGGGAGAGGGAGAGAGAGAGAGAGAGTAATTACTGGAGTTAAAGCTTAGCTAGGAGTTACTGCCCTCACTTATTTGCTTGTAAGAGGGTTTATGATTTAGCCCATAAATCTTAACAAGGAAGTTTGAAAAATCAATATTTAATTAATATTTAGGAACTGAATTTTACTGAGTACTCTTAGTTGTTTCAAAAACTAATGTCTGTCAATGAGATGGCTAGTAAATGGTTAAAATGGAAAAACTGTGTTTTATTTTTGAACTAGGAGAGGAAAGGGGAATATTAGCAGAGAGACTGAATGGAAAAGAATGCGTTTCCAATAGGGATATATCTGTGCAAGATGAAGTCTGTGGAAGAAGAGAAAATGCTTAAAGTATCACTTTTAATAGAATAAAACTATACTCCTAGTGTTAGCAAAGGAGGAGCAGCTAAACCCCAAAGCCCTGAATCTTGACCCTTAATAGCTACTGACTCTTAGAGGCCTCTGTCTAATTGTCTGGCTTTGTTAGGGGTAGGGTTAAGCTCAGGCCTAAGAGTAGCCTCTTCCCTTAATTTGCTAAAGGACAGGGGAGGCTGGCTAAACATTTCAGTGGGGCTTTACAAAGAGCTTCCAGTAGACTCTCAGGACCACTGGCATAAGAATCACCTGGGTGAGCTTGGTAAGATACATGAATCAGCCTCAAAGATTCATCTTACTGATCTGGAGTGGCACCCAGGAATCTGCATTTTTAAGTACCTCCCATGTCCGTCATAATGTAGGCAGGCCATGCCATGAGACACACCATGGGAGAGTCCAGAGTTAGTTTTTAATGGTGTTAGGAGGGAATTATGAATAAGAACCTATGAGTGTCCCTATTTTGATCTGTCATTATGGCAGTTCATAGGGAGAAGTATACACAAAGAACAATAGCAGATGGGCATCATCACCACACTTTAATAAAAATACCCCAGAGAGCTGCCCCATACCAGATGGCTCAGCTCTGAGGACCAGGCATGCCTGGAGGCCCACAGAACTGCCCTGGCCTAACTAACTGCTGCAGGAGGCAGGGTATGACCAGTGCCGTGAGGTGCTATTGTCTAAGGCACAGTAACTCGACAACTAGTAACAACAAGCCCAATGAACACACAGCTCCGACTAATTAGATTAGCAACTTCTCCATTGGATGGGTGGGTGGAGACTAGGAGGTGGACAGAGGCATAATTTCCATTTATCTGTGGGAGAATGATAGGAATAAATTATACAAATTAATATGTTGACACATCCAGTTAATAAATGTATTCTGTACTAGTTGCTTGGGAAAAGATTCAGTTCCATTTATTATTTTTTTCCCTTTAAACAGTGGTTGTAGACAGAGATACCGGGTTGAGGGAAAAGAATATACATACATAGGGTTTCAGTTTTTAAGCTTCCTTCTAAAATGTCCAAATCCTAGTAGAAGACTCTGCCATAGTCACTGATAAATAGTTTAGGGTGACTTTACCAGGCCAGCCCTAGATTACAAGAGTAAGGGAGATGCTGTATTAGGTGCCATGTAATAAACTCTTTTCAGATTAAAATTTTGCAAAATCAGTTAAATAAAGGGATTGGCAAGCCTAGAATACCTAGAATACCTTCTTAAGAAGAAAATTGTTTGCTGTTATGTTTTCTGATGAATTAAAGCAGTGAACCTCAAAACACCTTTTGCATCCGGAGTCGTCTGTTGTGGCAGCGAGAGCTGCTGCAGGATTTGTGGAGCATCCTGATGACTAGGAGAGTTTTGAGGGATTAGGGGGAAGTACTCTTGCTCAGCAAGGTAAATACCTTGGCCACAGATTTGGTTTCTTTGGCTCCAGCAGCCTCTGCCCTGAGCTCTATGTCAGACTCAAACACAAGTCAGAAACTCCTTACAGAGATATTTACTTCATGCGCATTTGAAATTGGCGACTCGCTTCCACTTGACTTAGGTGCTTGTTCCCTTTGGTTTTCCTGTCTAATGGTGCATGAGTTAAGGGAAGCTCTTTGGTTAGTTCAGGGAGAGCCTCCTTCCTGCTGGGGCCTTTGTGCTTCTACCCCAGGCAGAAGCTCATTAGAACAAGAGATTACAAAGCACGCTGTCCTCTTAGCAGGGACTATGGATTAATTTTACATGACCCCTGAGCAGCTGTTAACCTTGGGTAACACGTGCTACCTATCTGGCCTGTGGTGGCCCCACTTTATCTGCCTGAGATAAGGAATCAATAATCTTGAATCCTTCTAAGACCCATGCCTGTGATCGTATCTCATGACTTTTTTTTAAAAAAATATGTTTTTATTGATTTCAGAGAGAGGAAAGGAGAGAGAGAGAGAGACATCAATAATGAGAGTCACTGATCGGCTGCCTCCTACACCTGCAACCCGGGCATGTGCCCTGACCGGAACTTGAACCTTTATCTCCTGGATCATAGGTCGATGCTCAACCGCTGAGCCACACCAGCTGGGCAATCACGACTTCCAGTAGGAACTCCGTGGGTAACAGGCCTCTGTTTCCAAGGCACTGCCCTCCGTGTCTGGAATGTTCTTCATGGTCTCAGCTTCTCTTCATACCCCAAGACTAACACACCTTCTGTGGAACCTTTCCTGACCCCTCCTCCCTGCATCTTTGCTCCTGACTTGTTCTCCCCTGTGTGCTCTGTGCATATGGCTACAGCCGCTCTTAATGTCCCTTCACACCTGCCTCTAGTCTCCATGAGGTTCTTTATAATCTGGTACTTGGAATTGCTCTGAACATTGAGCAGCAGGCTGTGTCTCCCTGGGGAAGGGTGTAGTTAGCAGTGGAGGGCATAACTCTCCTGCTATGGTTTTCAGGGGCCAAGGAAGCAGTAAGTGCCTACCTGCCATTTATCACCCAGTGCTTTAAATTATTCACACTGATTTCCAATCCCTGCAGATTGCATGTGATCATGTGAGCACAGACAGCCTGGCTACGGACTCCAGCCCTGCAAAGAAGCCCTGGTCGGTTTGTCTTGATGACAAGTTTGGCTTAGCTCATCAAATCCGCAACAAGCAGTGCCGTCTCTACTCTTTAGGGTGAGTGCGTTTTACAGCAGCAGAAAACAGAAACGCTTCTGCAGGTGGCCAAGGTCTTTTCAGCAACACAGAGTTAGGAATGGGTGCGGTGTAGAGCAGGTGCTATCCTCTGCCTCCTGCCGTTGTTCAGACTCGTCTGTCTGTGATGGAACTGTGGGTACGTGCTGATCATCCAAAGTGGCCAAGGCCACTTTCTCTCTCATTCTGCAGGTAGAATAAATAAGTTGGCAACCTCCGTTTTCAGCATAATGATGATCCTCTTGGTGAAGTCAGTGATTTCCAGGTAGAATCGGAGCATCCTTATTATAAAGAGAGAGAAAAATATTAAGAGTGTACCTAGGAAAAAGGAAGAACCGTGAGGATATTGGAAATTCTATACACGGTGTGGTGAGTGACCCAAGGCAAATGGCCATGATTGAATTTTTTATGTTTTGTGCCAATGGTAAATCTGGGTATGCTTTTACATTAAAAAAAGAAAGAAAGAAAAGGAACCTCTTATGAAACCTTGAGATTTTGTCAAAACTGTGGGAAATATTGATTTTCAGTTATTCAGGCTGAAAATGACCTAAATGTACAAATGGATTTAGAGAGCTTTTGGTAAAAGGGTGAATATAAAGTAATGAAACTATTTCACCAAATGCACCACTGCTCATTAAACAGTTCTGATCTTACAAATGACATATGTCTCAAAAAGGCAGGAGAGAGTTACTTTTGTTTGGAACACCCTGTTCCATAGACTCTTTGTGGAAGCCATGTAGTTAGGTTTCAGGCAAGATCCCTGAGGTCCTTTATGAAAGCACTAGGGACCCCAACAAGTGTTACATGCTTATTCCTCACCAATAGGTTTCATCACCTCTACGATTTACATTCAGGCCCATGAGTGACAGCTGCCCACCAGCATCCTAAATGGTGAGTGTTAGGGACATTTGGGTGAGGTGGAGGCCTACCCAAAGGTGCTGATGTCTGGAGAATGGCCATCGCTTGCCAAACTTTATCAAACAAGAATTCTTAGTTATAGTCATTGTGGATTTTTAAAAACACACACAAATGTTTCAAATAAGAGTTTTGGGATTATTAATAGAAGCATTCTTCTATGGGTTAAATGAAGAGTAATGGTATATATCAGTGAAGCTTGATAAGCAGTAAGCACTCACTATATATTTGCTATATAAATGATTGATTGCTGGAGGTAAGGAGACTAAGGAGGGAAGCTGGCTCTGCTGTGATTTAAACTTGGAGGCTCAAGGATTAGGAAATAAATTGCTCAGCCAGTTGACTAGAACAGAGCTCTTTTGCCAGGAGCCCACCAGCTCTGCTTCAAGATTGTAGGAAGAATGGGAAGTTGTGACAGGAGAGTTTATTTGCTATCACATTAAAAATGTATGAAAGTAGGTCATAAAAATAATTGCAGTGCCACATGCAAATTGGAGATCTCAGCCTGGTCTTATTTTCTTGCTCCAAACTGCCTTTATATTTTGCTTAATATTTTACACCCTGGAATAATTTCATTTAAAGCATATAACTGAGTAAAATGAAACTGGGAAAGCTGTTTTTAGAGAAATTTTAAAAATTCACTTTTGCTTTCCTTATACTTCAGCCTTTAGATAAGATAGTTCTGCTGGAAGATATCAGATTATTACATGCAAAAAGGTGGTTTCTTATTTTCATTTAAATCTTCACTATTCAAAATCGACTTTGTAAAGAGCAGATCAGAGCAGATGAATTCCACTGGAAATAGAAACGAATAGATTATGAAGGCCAACATTTGATTCAAAACCTGGAGATGCTTAATTGAAAACTGGGAACTAAAGAAACTATTTCTTATGCCCTAAAAAAGGATGCTTTGGATTGTAGATGTATATGCTGATCACACTGTTACTCAAGACTGAAGGTCCAGACAAGCATCCTCCCTTCCTCAGGTGAATTGCTTGCTTGGGGAGCAGGTAAATAGCAGCTGACAGCATCCCAATTGATGCTGAAGGAAGAAAGAGACCCAGGGCAGAGCGGTGTTCCTGAAATAAAAAGCTTTGGCTCCTAGTAAAGAAACTTCAGAGAGAAAGTGGAGGTGAAACCTGCTCCAGTTCTTGGGGTGGAGGAAAGGTAGGAAATAGACCAAAAGGCAGGGCAGTCAGCCCTTGTCCTCTGATCCTCATGTCCTCAGATCCCTTCTTCCCTCACCCCAGGAAGGCTACCCTCAGCTGCGGCTGTATCCATCGTCCTCAGTTAAGATAGAGGTGACAGGGCACAGCAGTGGCATGGTGCTGCTGCTGCCACGGCCCTGGGGTGCATGGGTTCCAGTGTTGGGAGTGTGGGGAAGGTTGTGAGATAGGTGGGGAGGGCAGGTGGCCGGTGGGTCATATGGCCCCTCCATCCAGGCAGTACATGCTCACACTTCTTTCAACCCTCCTGCCCTCAGTGGTGCCGGTTAAAGACTTTCCCTGTAGCTGCTCTGATTGTATTTTATTTTTAAGGTGTTTTTTATTTGTTTTGTTTTTTTAAAAATATATCTTTATTGATTTCAGAGAAAGGAAAGGAGAGGGAGAGAGAGAGATAGAAGCATCAATGATGAGAGAGTCATTGATCAAGCCCGCAACCCGGGCATGTGCCCTGACTGGGAATCGAACCCCGATCGCCTGGATCCTAGGTCGACGCTCAACCGCTGAGCCACACCCGGCCGGGCTAAGGTGTTTTTTTTTTAACAACTTTGTTGAGATATAATCCACATACCACACAATTCTCTCATTTAAAGTGTACAATTCAATGGTTTTTGGTCACATTTTTACAGCATTTTTATTACCACTCCCCCCAAAAGAAGCCTTGTACCCCAGTAGCAACCACTGCTAATTTCTTTCCAACACTCCCCCTCCCTTTCGCCTCATAGTCCTAGGCAACCACTAACCTACTTTCTGTCTCTGTAGTTTTACGTATTCTGGACATTTCATATAAATGGAAGCATAGCATATGTGGCCTTTCGTGACTGGCTTTTTCATTTCACATATGTTTTCAAGTAATGTTGTAACGTATCAGTACTTCATTCCTTTTGATTTCCAAATGATAGCCCATTGTATGGATATACTGCATTTTATTTGTCACTCATCAGTTGATGGACATTTGGGATGTTTCCACTTTTTGGCTATTATGAATATGTTGCTATGAAAATTCATGTGTAAGTTTTTGTGTGGACATTTGTTTCCATTTCTCTTGGATATATATACCATTTTAAATTCCCACAAGCAATGTATGAGGGTTGCAATTTCTCCACATCATTGCCTACACTTATTATTGGTCTTTTTGATTATGGCCTTCAAAAAGATAGCCACCTTATAGCCACTAGTGGATGTGAAATGGTATCTCATTGAGGTTTGGATTTGTTTCTCTCTCTTGGCTAATGATCTTGAGCATCTTTTTATGTATTTATAACCTGAATTTTTGATTCCCGGGGAACATAAAGGGCACTCACCTTAGTACTCTCAGGAATATTTTTTAAAAGAATAACCAAGGACCTGAAACAGTGCCGTGTCCATCCCTTCTACTTTTAGGTAGTGGTTCTGCTACACCAGATTAGATCATGGAAAACTTAGTGGAGATTACGGTGTTCTGAACTGTGCAGGTTCAATAGGAGGCTAAAAATAGGAAACAAGACCTCTTGGGTAAAAGGAATGGGAGGTTGGTGAGAGGAGTTCTGAATCTTTTTCTAGGCCAAAAGGATGGAGAGAATTATAACTGAGGGACATCAGAGGGTTGACATGCCATGGAGCTAGTGAAGAAAAGAGCAGTGTAGTGGGAGAGAAGGGAGAGGACAAGGCAAATAAGAGTATTAAGAATGTGCAAGTGGACAGTATGGATGGACCTGGAGAATATTATGCTAAGTGAAATAAGCCAGGCAGAGAAAGACACATCACATGATCTCGCTCTTATGTGGAATCTAAAGAACTTAATAAACTGATGAACAGAATAGGTTCAGTGACATGGAAGCATAGATCAGACTGACGAATGTCAGAGGGATGGAGGAGGGCGGGCGGGTGGAGGGGGAGAGAGCAACCAAAGAATTTATATGCATATATGCACAGCCCAAGGACACGGACAATGGTGGGGAGAGGGACTGGGGAGGGGGGTGAGACAGAGTAGAAGGGGTCATTGGGGAGAAAAAGGGACATCTGTAATATTTTAAACAAACAAACAAACAAACAAACAAAAAACAAAAAAGAATGTCTAAGTGGAGAAACTCTCTACTGAAAACTTATAGTTAACTAGAACCAGGTAAATAATTGTTATCCAGTGAGCTAGTATATTTCTAAATTATGAAATACTCTGAAATAGTAGAGTCTAAGAGAATGAAGTATTTCTGCCCTGGGTTCAAGTTTGGCCAATGTATTATAGAAACTCTGGGATTTTGAAATCTTAAATCACATCTAATTATAGTATTTTGGTCAGAGAAACCATAGTCACCATTTTAAAATATACTCTTCTCTCGGTTAATTTCATGTTTTTCATTTATATTCCTTATATATCACTAAATAAGGAATATTTTTGAGTAAATTAAGAATTTGTAAGAATATGAATTTTGCACACAATGTGCCACCTACTGGGTAGTTAAATCTGATTTCTTTCCCCTGTTGAAGTGAATTTTAGGTGAGGTACCTCTTCTGCTTCTTGAACACTGAATCCAGTGGGACCACATACATTTGTCTGTTGTTTATGGCGCTATTCTAAAGCACACTCTATTTCTAAGAAAACAGCTGCTGTCTTTAAATCAAGCTGTATGCCCAGCACTGTGGCCATTAGAATGGAGACAAATTTCCTCATTAATAGAATGTACTTCTCTTTAAGGGAGCTGATCCTGGGGCTTATATTTTTGACATATTACTGGAAAAATCTCTTAAGACAGCTGGATAGTCTTTGTTTCATTGCTACTATGGTTTACATCTTTTAAAAAAACACATTTGATATGCTTCTACATGTTTGAACATGTGATTCTCTGGTCTGTCTGTGTCTTTTTAGCAGGTAATTCCCCTACTTTCTTTCATCCAGATGCTTTTAGTGATAGTGCTCTTTGTGAAAGGATTATTGAATGTGCACAGTTAGCCACCTGTTAAAATAGGAGAAGGCTTGATATAACTAAGAAAATTGGCCTTGGAACTGTCATTTTCTCAAGCCAACACTTTTTGCTTCATCACATGTTTTTTGTGTGTTGATTTCCACTCTCTTCTTTCCCTGCAGGCTGGGGAGTGATGATACCCACTTTGAGGTTAGCATGGCCAACAATGGATGTGAAGTGCATCGTTTTGATCCCAGTGTTAAGTCAGCTCACATTCTGGAGAGTCAGCGCCTCTGGTATCACCGCTTGTCCATCGACTGGCGGGACCCCCATCCGGCTGTTGCTGCCCAAAAACCACATAGCAACACCAGAAAATTGGGAACCATTTTGAATGAATTTGGGCATCACAAGGTGAGATTTTTTTCATTTGATTTCTTAATTAAATAAAGTGAACAAACTCATAAACTGTGATTTTTAAAAATGCAAACCAAGAATTGGATAGTTGAAGGTCCAGGTTTTTTAAATTTTATTTTTCAGTTACAGTGTACAATCAATATTATCTTGTATTAGTTTCAGGTGTAAGGCATAGTGGTCAGACCATTATATTCTTCACAGAGTGATCCCCAATATTTCCAGTACCCATCTAGCACCATACATAGTTATTACAATATTATTGACTATATTCCCTATGCTGTACTTTACATTCCTGTGACTATTTTGTAGCTAAATGGCCCAGTTTTAACCTTACACATCACTCATCATTATTTATAGAGTCCGCTCTGTAACATAAGGTTTTGACAAGGATAGAGATCTTTAAATTGATTTGAAAATTTTAGTTGCTGTTGAGTAGCGCTAAGTAAGGTTTTGGCTAAGACGGGACAGAGAGACTAGCAAACCTACTTCTGGCATAGGCTCCAGAGTGCCATTTCCGACGGGCAGTTGATTTAAAATTTCCAGACAGAAGAAACTATTTATGTCAGCCTCAAATACAAAAAGTAATCAGAGTCAGGTTTATGTTTGATAACAGATTGCTTGTGTATCATATTTCTCACTGTTGTAACAACTATTTTGAGTCTCCAGGCTCTTAAAGGTCAGAAAATATGTGTAGCTTTGATTAAAATGTACTGTGTAAAATTGAATGGACATTATGTGTGTTGCAACTGAGATGCTTATGTTCAAAGGATGTCAAATCTCTACCAATATTTTATTGTGAATGGATAGCAGAAAAGAAACTCAAACTTTGAACTGTGTCCTTACAAGCAAATTTTGGTGTAGAGCTGAGCTCATTGCATTTTGTAGGCAGACACTAGAGAAATTCAGTGCAGTTGGCTTATGTTTGATCACCAGCCTTCCTGGGCCTGGTCTATCTTGCCCTATTATTCCCAGCCAGAGATGACATGTAATTTAGAACATGCCAGAATGGGGATTTCTGAGAAACAGTGTTCATGGAGTGCAATTTTAAACTCGAGTTTGCTGCTTGATCTTTAATAAAAGGGCTTGTTGTCTGCATTGTTTTTTCCCCTCCTGCCTCTTCTCCTCCTCTTTTCCTTTTTTCTTAAAAAACACACAAAAAAACCCAGCACACAAACTCCCTTTAATTCAACAACAGGAGCTTCTTCAAGAACAACTTCAAAAAATTTGCTGTTCTTTTAACATGTAATTAACTATTGACTTGTATTTTGCTTTGCCACTGAGAGTAACTAGCATTTAATAGTTGGGAGCCTTAATGAAAATTATATAGGATTTTGGGGGTAAAATCTGTGAGTAGAACCCAAAGAAGTGAGAGTATTTCTTTAGGACTTTATTTTGTTTTTGCTGCTTGTTACCGTCATAGACCTGTTTTTTACAGCTTGAAAATTACAGGCCTGATTCTCGAATATGTAAACTCTAGATTATTCAGAGCTCTCACTACGGATCTTTGCGTTCATTTAGGCATTTTCCTGCTCCTCCTTAATGCTCTTTGCATCCTGGCCCTATCCACCCCCACTCTTTAAGAAAAGACGGAGGAGAGAAGAGAGGTAAAACTCAAAGTGATTTTGCTTTTTTCAATACTATTTTTAAAAGATTTGATAAATGTGAAGATAAAATAAGACTTTGGAAAGTGATCTGTGGATGTAATTTTCCTAAGCCACACTGCCTATGACAATGTGCTTTTAGAAAACCAGGCTTGCACCAGATTTGTGCTTGTGTAACTCCATGGGAGCTGAGGTGGGCAAACCTCTGTGCTGGGGGTGAGGCATGAAGCCTTTACACACTCTCCTGAAGCAGCAGGAGCAGGTACATACCTAGAAAGGAGAAATGTTCTTAAAATTTCTTGTATTCCTAAGGCTACTTTTTTTGTTAAAAACATGAATAATGTCACTTAAAAATAGTTAAAATGGTTATTTTTATGTGTATTTTACCACACACACACAAAAAATCCCCAGTAATAATGAAAGTGACCTGGCTTAGAATTGCCAGATATGTTTTTGCTGCTTAAAAATAAAATCCCTGTTGAAGGATTTAAAAGAGACTGATATTCTTTTCTAGAGATGATTTTTGGGGGAATGCTTTCAAACAAAACAAAACTAAACCCAGCAGTGAGTGATGGCTTCCTTTAGGAGCGTGCTTCTAGGAGTGATGTGATACCAGATAAAGGGAAACCTCATTCCTGGCCTGCAGCAGGAGAGGTCTGTTTTCATTTTTCTGCATGTGCACAGACGCTGGTAGATAGGATGCGGCTCTGGCAGGGGACGCAGACAGAAAAAACAAAACAAAAGAAAACCACCGCACAGTAAAACATGGCAGTGCTTTTCGCCTTGCCTTCTTCTCTTATTTTTTCTGAAAGTGACTATAGAAACCAAAGAGGTTTTAGTGGTGGTGTTTTTCACTTCATGACTTTAAAACATCTCCTATAGTTCGGTGATGTTTTCCATGTTTAGCTGTTATTTTTCTTCTTTTTGTCAGACCTTGATTCCAGCCACTCAGGCAGAAATGTCGGCAAAAGGAAAGGCAGTATTTTGAGATGGTGACAGAAGATGCATATGGCTTTCTTAGTGCTTTTAAAACTCTTTGGTAATTTTAACTTCAAACTATAAATCAAAAAAATCTTTTTAAAGCATCAAGTGAGAGCAGCTGCATCAGCAAAAGCTCAGGAACCAGAAGCCCAGTCTGCCAGGGAATAATTTCACCTGAATCCAGCATTATCTGAAATGATTAACTGTCTTTACCCAACTGCTTGTTGTTGTAACTACGCATTAGAATTGTTCCACAATATGACTAGTGATATTGAATCTGAAATTTCTGCACATATTAATCATAATCTAGGCTTTTTTCCTAAGGTCTTGATTACACAGAGTATGCTAAATGATCCAGGCAGGTTAGTGATAAATTATATTTTTCAGTCTCAGCCATGCTGATGATATAACAGGACTGCGTTAGAGCTTACCGCTGCAAATTCATTAATCTAGGTTTGAGGTATGGGTCCTCTTGTCGGTTTTTAGCACTGGACAAGTCTTAAATGACTCTCCGGTGCTCAGTTTGATTGTCAGTAAAATTGGAACAATGATGCTACCTAAATGGGTTGTTTCTGAGAATTAGGTCAGAAAGCACAATGTGAAAGGCTCCAGCAGTGCCTGGCATGAATTAGTCATTTGTAAGTTCAAAGAATTTTTATTAACAGTTTCAGGAAATTTTTACTAAATTTCATAGAAAACATTTTCTTGCTCTATTTCCAGGGAAAATACATTGGAGATTTTTCTGGAAATTGCTACATGCACCTAATTCCAGTCAAGAGTGTTTAACGAAAGCTTTGTGTGACATGGCAGGGCAATTGGTCCTTCAGACGTGGTTGTTGGGAACTATTATTGTTTGCTGTCTCTGGATACTGAACAGTTTTGCTCCCATTGTGTAGAAAGTAAATACGGTGCTGTATAAAAATGAAATAAGCTGCTGAGACTTAATACAGAGCAGATGCAACCCGAAGGGGACGATCCGGTGGATCTGGACTTCCTCCCTGCTCAGTGCTGAGGAAGGAGGGGGTGGGTCCCCCCTCTCCTCCCTGGACGGGGCCCCAGCAGCTGAGTGTCCCTGCGGATCCTTATAGGAGGAGAAGTGTCTGTTTCCCTGGGCTGAGGGGCTCCCCACTGATCACAAAACATCAGTTCTGTTTTATGGTCGTTGCTATATGAGAGAGAATATGGGCTTTGAAATTCAACTACAGAAAGATTCCTTTTTCTTTTTGCTTATCAAATTGGCAAATATAAACAAGATATTGATGCTGCGCTACATTGGAGTGCTTGTTTGGAATAACACTCATGCTTTGCTGCTGGAAGTGGAAAGTGACAGACCCTTTCCAGAAGAAATTCAACCATGTATACATATGATGTCACTTTTAATTCCTAGAAATCTGCCTTAAATTCTATTTAAGAACTAATCTGCTATTAGTTCTGCCATTTCAGATCTTTTTGGATAAGTATTTTTATAAAATGCCATTCTAGATTCTTTTATTTTCATTTTTTAGATATAGTTTCAGTTTATGTAGCGTATAAGAGTGACATTTGGTATATGCCCAGATTGTGTTTTTAAATTCAATCTGATAATCTTTGTCTTTAAATTGGTGTGTTCAATTCACTTAATTCATAGTAATTAGGATTACTGGCATATTTGGACTAATTTTTACTCTTTTAAATTGGGCTTTTTTGGTTTTCTGTACTTTTTTTTCCTTCTTGCCAAAGCTTCTTTGTTTAATTCTTCATGGTTACCTTTAAAATTTAAATGTATAGAATTTCAAAATTTTAAAACAACATGTAAAATTATCAGTATTTTTGTATTCCTCCTAAATACAGCAAGGATTATAGCAAGTTAACTGATCATTGAACATGGACCCCACATGGTTATTTTTGGGAGTTTTGATTTTACCTTACTTTTTTCATATTGTCTTTTCTAAAAATTTCAAGTTGTAAGAATAAGAATAATACAACGAACTCTAATATATTTCTTACTAAGATTCATCAATTGTTAGTATTTACTACATTTTCCCTCTCTTTGATATATATAGTTGTGTTCAACTATTGTCTCTGCAAAATAAGAAAAACAATGGAAAGGAATGGATGGGTATTTCTGTAATATGTCACCTTTTTATGTGAGTTTAATCCATTTTAAAAAATCATGGTTGCTGATATATTTGGATTAATTGCTTTTTACTTTAGTATATCTCAACCCAAGAGCTGGAATCATGATTAATGTAAAAATAATGGAAATATCCTTATTCAAGTCAGGGGAAAGTAAGGGTGTCTGTCATTATCATTTTAGAAAACTGGATTAGAGTTCTTTTCTAAATAAATAAACTTATTCTGTGATATAGATTCACAGGTAGTTGTAAGAAATAATACAGAGATTCCAAGTACATTTAACCCAGCTTCCCCCAATAG